ACCTGGAGTTATTTATGTATGTTCACAGTAATATTTCTCTACACCAAAAAAATACAAACCCCACAAAAAAACCCAAAACACAGTTCCCTAGTACAAATTGCTCAATTGCTAATCAGACTGAACCTTAAAACTACTGGATTTTAATATCTGCATTGAGGGGTGAAATTGTCATTGGGCTCAGAGCAGTATTGGGCCTACGCTACAGCAAAGGGTCCACTCAGAGTTCTACACGAAGAACTCAGTTATCTGTAGATTTGTCCAACTCCTCTGATTAGGGACAAATTAGAATCACAATAGAAAACAGGTAAGAACTATTATCCAAAAAAAATATGAACCACTGTCTTATTATGTATTATCTTTAATTGTACTTACTTTATTTCCAATGAGATTTCTACATCCATGGGTGTGTGTTTGTTAACAGGAATAAAATAGCTATAATTTCCAGACCTGAAAAATGGGGCATTAATACACATAGGATTTTGAGACAGACAGCACATTTACAAAAACACTGAAGTTGCATTTTTTAAAAAGAAAAAAATACAAAAAGCTAGAAAAAACTCCTACATGCTACAAGCAATTGTGAGAAGGAGCTGGCCAAGTAGCCATGCCACACCAGTAGTATTTTTTTCCATCATAATAAAGCATAATAAAACAATTTACCTACCAGCACTGTAGATTTTCACTACAGTAGCGATTGTCAATGCTTTGCTGAGTTTCCAAAATCTGTATGGAACTGATTGTTGTATCAATCCCTAAAAACATTAAGAATAATGTTTTATTCTTGATTATTTCAGAAATCTCAGATAAGAGCATAATAAAATTATAGTTAATACAGTGGCATCTACTCCCTTGCTTGCCACTACAGGAGTTGCTTTATATCTAAATTAGCACTCAGTAAAAAACCTCTGGTTGATCACCTTCATTCTGCTGTTTCAAGGGAGATAAGATCCTCGTTCGATTTACAGGGACAAATATCCTTTTGAGGATATTTGACAAATATTTCTTTTGAGCAACATTGAAGCTATTTTGATGACAGTCCAAGCTGAATACAAGTGTGTCAATGTTCATTTTAATGTACTAGAAGCTGTGCTCATGCAAGTTCAGTAATTTGACAAACATTATCTTTGCTGAGAGAAATAATCTGAGGCGCAACAAAACTTGTTTCTAATCCTGTGTGCAGGAAAACCACCTAACTCTAATGAATATGATAATTTCTTCATAAAATGTTGCCTTGAACTTGCAAGAACTTAAGAGTTTCATAATGTTCTACATATAGGATGAAAAGTATAGCCATGATGGGGTGGCTTTTCCTCAAGGTAGATTAACCCTGCAGAGAGTTAGGAGTGTGCTAACACAGCATCACAGCTTCTGCTCTCATATCACAGGATCACAGAATTGTTGAGGCTGGAAAAGACCTCTGAGATCATCAAGTCCAGCCTATGTCCCAACATCACCACATTGGCTTGGGCACATCACCACATCGGCTGGACCACGGCACTAAGTGCCACATCCAGCCTCTCCTTAAACTCCTCCAGGGACGGTGACTCCACCACTTCCCTGGGCAGTACATCCCAGTGCCTGAGCACCCTCTCCGTGAGGAAGGGCTTCCTGAGATCCAACCTAAACCTGCCTTGACGCAGTTTCAGGCTGTGCCCTCTCGTCCTGTCACTGGTTGCCCGGGAGAAGAGCCCGACCCCCAGCTGAGTGCACCCTCCCTTCAGGCAGTTGTAGAGAGTGATGAGGTCCCCCTGAGTCTCCTCTTCTCCAGGCTAAACACCCCCAGCTCCCTCATAGCTGGCCTAGGAATCACTGCACTGAGTTGCAGCCTAAAAAGCATTTTTCTTCTGGATATGTCTTCTGCACCTGATTAGTGCAGGTCCATGGTAAGGATCTGCAGCATCTCAGACCCCTAAACCAGCCCACCTCAGTCTGAACCATGAAGGATCCTCAAACAGAAGGGGCTAAACAGGTTTAAACCTCACGAGTGACCCTGGCATGGAGGGAGTGTGTGAGGCATCAGCAGATAGCCAGACTCCAGCTGTTGCCTACAGCACCAAGCTTCTGATATTTTAAGTCTCGCAAAGTGGTGCAAAAAGCACAAGGAGGACCTGGCTCAGCAGGCTCAACCTTGCTCTTCACATTGTGCAGTGAACACTGGGTTTGTGTTTCTCTTCCTCTCTTCTGCAGCAATAGTTCCTTGCTTCGCAGAAAAATTTAATGTTCCTAGGGTGACCTGTGATCTCATTTTAAAACATCCATGTGGTAATATATACTTAATTTTCAGCATGCAAATATGCACATGTATGCTTAATTGAGAAGAGGGAAATTTAGCATGTTCATTTCAGAAGAACATTTCCCTATGTCACAGCACCTCATTAAAACATGTATCACAGTAATGCCACTAAGGCATGTGTAGCCACATAAAAAAATTAAGAAGGGTAAAAAATTTTCCCAGATCATCCCACTGGGGCATACCCTGGCAACAAGCAGAACTTGTGTTTTATTCCTCACATGGTCCCAGGTAGAAATCTCCTTTAAGTGCACGCCGGTGAACAGCTATTTTACCACCCAAATATCACCTAATCTTTAATCAACTACTTATTTTTAAAAACCCAAAGCTTAAAACAGAGCATCCACATTAGCAGAAAAGACGAGGCATAATCCTGCTCATACTGAATAATGCCTAAGCATGCTGCTATAACATATGTAATCAGCAGGTACTCATCTTCATGGCAAAGAATCAGTATTGTCAGCCCAGACTGGCTCTGATATAGCAATGCGCAGTCACTAAAAGGGGAGTCTGAAATCAAGCCAAAAGTCTTGTACTGAAGAACTTCATTTCACCTCCACTGATGCAGGTGGTGTCAGGATCCTAAGGTAGAGATGGCCCCTTTCAGCAGCTGGCATTTCTGAATCCATTAGGTGAGTTGAGCCAAATCCCAAAAGCTTCCTTTACCCTGTATCATGCATTTCCTTCACACAAGTACCACATTCATATCCTGTAGCATTTTGCTGTACAAGGGTTAGCAGTGCTGTGCCCCTTACAAGATTTTAGCCCCTGTCAAGGAAAATGTCACTTGTCATTTTATTGCACTGGAAGCCAAGTCTAAGAAGTCTCTAGTGAGGGCAGCCAGAATGTCTATAAAAATCTAATGAAGATGTAAGAATAAATGGTAATGACAAGAAAATTATAGTGAATCACAGGTATTTAATAGATTCCTAAGTGCTAATTCTCTATAATGACCAGTTATAAATGAAACTTCCAGCAGCAGAATTCCAACCCTAAAGGTAGTTATGCCAAGGTTACACAAAGTTATACCAAAGTTATACAAGCATACGCTTCACTAGTTTTTTAAAAACATACAGGACTTACAGTCATTTCCAAGATCAGGTCTTCCAATAAGTTTTTTGACTGGATCTTGTTCAGATAACGTGTCACTTTTGTTTCCTGTGAAAGGAACGTCCTCAGGTTAGCTTTGCACACTTGTAACAGCAAAATATGGACACAACACCAGAAGATGCTTTGTTAATTATCTCTTGGATAAAGACAGGCATAACTACAAGAGAAACCTTTAAAATACAAAACACCTCTATTCAGAACATACATACGTTCAAAAGAAGTTTGTAGATAGTAAGAAACAAGCTTTTGAAATTCTACAGGAGATCTAAAACATTTTCAAAAATAGCCTAATAGAGAAGATTTCATCCACACATAGAATATCACCAATTGTTATCACAGAGAGCCAAAACGAAAGCCAGCATCCAGTCAGCTGATTCAGTACAAATCTGCTCATAAAACCACATCTTTCTTATTAGTGAGGAAATGGCATTAGTAGGAAGTCACTGTTTCATTATAGAAAAAATTCTTTTACAAACGGAAGGATCAAAAAGTATTATTTTACTGAGATTGAAACAAGACGGCTGCATTGACCTTACTGTTTTCTTACTCATTCCAGATTTTGGGGTTCGTTTCAGTATTGGGAAATAAGAAAATTAAGACTTTTCTCATGCTAGTAGGTGACCGAGTGCATGGAATAACATTAACAACTAGAATCTCAGAGCCTAGAAACAATGTAATACAAAATAATCTTTGAGATTTCCGTAATTTTTGTTTGTTATCAATCTGCGATACTGCTTCCAATTATTCTTTGAATTCTTTTTCTGTTTGCTTTGCTTGATCTACCAGTTCTGCCAACTTAGGTGATAACTGTTGTGTTTAATAGTATTCTGCTGTCCCATTTCTCTGTACTGCTACCCACACCTGGAAAAATGGCTACTGAACACATACGGTCAGTTATACACATCCAGTAGGTCTTGAGGTAGATCTAAAAAAACCCATATTCATTCCTTCATTCTTCCTTTAAATTACAAACTAGTTGTCACGTCTTCCTTCCACTTTTTTTCTGTTTTCTCCTGATGGTCTAGCTACGTTAGCAATGCATTAAATGTTTCCTGCCATTTTGCATTTTCATTAACAGAGAACTGTTCTATAGTAAAACCCATATCCCCCGGTAAAGGTAAAAGGTTGCTAACTGAAAGAAAGACGTTCTCCCTGTAGATGAAACAATTCAGCTGTGCAAGCATTGGCAGGAATATTTATTAAATACTCTAAACTACTAAACATTTAATACTGTGATTCTTTTGCAGACAACGGAAGAAAGCATTAAGTGGGTGTATATACACAAATATAATTTGTATTAAAACTAGGATGAAGACAGATTTACTTCACTAAGATTTTAACTATTTAAATTGAGTCAGTAACCAGACATTTATTATCACTTGTTTTTTCACACATTTCACTTGGTTTTTCGCTGTTTCATTGTCCTTTAGGCTGATGCAATCCAAATGAAATGTAGAAAATTGGCCCCTGATGTTATTTTTATCTGGAGCTCAAATTGCCAATTGAGAACACCAGGAACCACCAAAACCCAATGTAACAGCCTTCAATAAATTATGATATATTCCAACTCTGTCACATGCAGTAACTCTGAGGGCTTTCTGACAGGCCCACGTGGGGCATGACGATCCAGTTCAATAACAAATACAAAAGTACAAGTGGGACTGGAATGAAATGAGGACAACCGTCATATTCAGACAAGATTCATATAAACTCTGCCAATAAACGTAGTACCCTTTTTTAAAAATTTTTTTTTCCCTCAAACACTTTCTGGTTTTAATTCACATGAATTGTAAAATTGTAATATTCTATAAGCAGCGTGGAAAAAAAATGCTGATGATTTCTTTCGGTGGTTGTACCTTGTTATGAACCATTAAGTACTGAAGGCAGTAAGTGCAGTAAGTGCAAATGCGTGAAGTTGACTAAAATCAGCAGGAGCCCTCATCAAGCTTTTATTGTGAGGAGAGAGACACCAGAGAGAAACAACACTCTAAGAGGAAGTGAGGACAGGCCCTGATTATGGGTGACACTTAACCTGAAGGGGCAAGCAATGAGCACTAAATGGCAATGGAAGCAGAGGGCAGAACAGGCCCAGGTGCTGAAGAGTACTCGCACTCCTCAATTCTGCTGAAATCAACAGGAGTCTGAAAGTCTAAATCCTTCAGAGAAACCAGTTCTTAAGACGAATAAGGTATGAGGGGAAAAAAGGTCACGTTAAGCTAGGCTACATAAAGATGTGCTGAATTTTTGTTTTAACAAATTTTGCCTTGCTTATGAATGCTTCTGTTTCTAATTGAACATTCCTAACAGCCTTCTCCTTGACAAATCTGAGATGCAAGGGATTAGGCACTACAATGGATGCACTCAGTAGAAGTCTGAGCACACAGAATTTAGGTATTGCATGGTGGAATAGCAAAGAGTCTGTTAAATATTAAGTCCTGAATTAGCATTTAATTCAACTGTAATTTTAAATAGTTTTATCTTGCCATGAATTGGACTAATCGGCTGATTCTAATATATCCACTGTTTATCTTGATTATTCCTCATATTTAACTCTTAGCTTTTTGTTCTGAAAACATTTTCCTTTTCATTTATCTTGGCTACAGCTACATTAAGCAGCTTGTTGGTTTCCCTTCTGTTTGGATTTCATATTGACATTGTTACCTTCCATCTGGGGATACCTTCAGCTTCATTAAACTTGTGCAGATCTGAAATCTTTCAGTAGCTTGTGTACTGTGCTGATTTTTCACTCTTGGATCCACACTTAATGCTATTTGGAGCATGAGACCTCGAGAAGGTAATGCTTTGTGTTTACTCTTATCTTCTCTCTTCACCTAATATGAAAAGCAGCCAGCTGGGGATAGAAGGTTTTCATATTTCATTTTCATCTGTCTATAGCTCCCTCATTTGTAAATGGAGATTAATGTCTTTTTAATTAATCAATGCTCTTTCAGGCTTCAGAGCGATACAGATCACTTAGGTATGGTGTCTCAAAGGCACTGTACTGAGCTGTAACTGCCACGGGGCTCACTGCCACACTAATTCCAAGAACCACAAGGACCCCTGACATGCAGCTTGTCTGCGAATGGCGCTTTGTGGCGTAAAGAACGGGCAGTGGGTGAATCCCACTGAAACAGCAACTGGCAACGCCTGCTCTGGCAGACACTTGCACTTCGGAGGCTGAACGGCACCCATCCCCAATTTCACCTCACCTTGCCAGCTGTGGTTGGTGCAAGAATTGTTCCCAAGGCCAAGACAGGAAGGGTATGAATTCTGGGTTTAGTAACACTAACCCTCGCTTCCAGACATTGACAGCGTTAAACAACTTGTGCAAATCTTTATGTATAAACTCTTTCTTATAAAAGTTGTAAACAATACACCTATTCATATATTACACACGTCACATCTGGCAGACAATATCCGAAAGAGAATTCATTCCAGTAAAAGAAATTTGTTTCATAAAGCTCTGTCTTCAAATAACAATTTCTCTACTCAAAAACCCTGCCTGAATGAGCAGAGTTTTAATTCTAGGTTTCATATTTTCTGGCAGTTGAATTTCTGTCTCTGCCCACAGGAATGATGTGGTATCACCACACTGTGACACCGTTTAATGTTTGGGGATTTTTTACATCTGTTAATTCACCTTCCACTACCCCCAATCAACTCCTGTCCAACTGTAGCCAAAGGTTAATTAAAAGGATTAGCAACTTTCTGATTCACATGAAATCATTTACCATGAATGGCCAAGAACAGTGACACCTGACAAAACATCTTAGGACCCAAAATTCTTAAAGGTAACCAGCCAGATTTTCAAAAATATATTGACTGCAGGGGTAATTAGCTATATCAAATTTTTTCTTTACTCCTGTGGGCTAGGATCTTTTGTAGGAAGCGAACTGCTTTTACAGATTCTTACCCCATCCCCTACACTCTTCATATAGTCTTTACTCAAATGGTAAATAATAGAAATTAATGTTTTAGCTTACCTTTCTCCTTTGAATCGATTTTCTCATAACTTAAAGATCTGACATTTGATTGATGAATTGGACAACAATAGACCTTGTCACAAGGCAAAACGTCACAGAAATTCACTTCAGGAATCCTGCTGATCAGTTGCGTGCTCTGAGAAATTGTGCTTTCCATCTGCAATGCTAGAGGAAAAAAAAAAGACATAGTTGTCAGTAGTGCTGCGTGTCTGTTGGCATTTTATAAAAGCACAGAAATTGAAAGTTTGTTACTTGTATGCAAAGCAGCAGAAATACACAGTACCTGCTGTAGTGGTAGAGGGAGAGACTAGAACAGCACTTGAGGTATTGCTGATGAAGAAAAAGAAAATTCATTAAGAAATGGACATCAGAGTTGTGGACCAAAACAGATTAGTCCACAGCCTGTTGCTAATATTAATTCAGTAACACTAATTTAACTACTTGCCTGTAAATCGGTTGTTTCTCAAAACGTTTGTCATGAATGCTAAGTAAATACAGGGTCGATATTGTCAGAGCACTGTAGAGAGAGAATTAGTCTGTAGGTTTACATCCATCTTTTATGTAACATAAAATGAATAACACCTTGATAGCACCTTGTCCAAATGTAGTAAAGTGAGAGTTAACTATCTGATCCCTTCTGTTTCAGTGGGAAAAATTTTGTCTGAATTTAATGGGGTTTGGGTCACATACTTGTACACAGCATTGTACTGGTATACTTGTGTATATATATATACATATACTTGTATTCAACACAAAATTTTCATTGCAAATAGAATCACAACCCCAGCTTGAAGCACTGGGCAATCTCAAAAGTCCAAATCATACTTTCCTTTCCACAAGTCCGATGCCTCAAGTTAAACTTGCAGAATCATAGGAGTCCCCACTCCAGTGGGAACAAGTTCAGCTTTGTTTCACACAACAGAATCACTCTGTACATCCAAAATTGTACTTTGGTGCAGGATGACTGCAAAAAACATGCAGGATCTTACAAGTCCAGCTTTGTACCTGCAGCACAAACCACCAAGACACATTCCAGGTGCACCATACATGGTGACATTGACAGAAATTAGTTGTGTGTGCACCACATGGGCATCTCAATTTTCTAAAATTATTTCAGTTTTCAATACCACCAGGCATATTCATTGTTAGCTTTAATGCATTGTGTTCTTTGACTAGGCAGGGTGAGAAGAAGAGAAAATTGCAATCTTTTTTCTGATTAAGTAAAAAGGGAAGGGAGAAACAAGCCAATCTGTTGATAATTAATCGTTACCATAGTGCCATAATAGCAATCAAAACTATTATAATCAACCGGAAAATCTTCGTAGAGCAAGACACTTTCGTCTTTGACAAACAAACCTAGGGGAAAAAAAAAATGTTTGCTTAATTTACCTGGCACATAACTATGCTACTACTAGTAATTTAAGTAATACTACACTAGTCTGACTTTAAGTTAACCTTGTTTCTTTCCGAGGAACCATACAAGTCATCCCTACCTAGGAGTCAATGTTTAAAGAGAAAAACTTAAGTAGTGAAATGCTACCTAACACTGTGAATGTGTTGCACACCGTTGATACTCTTGGGACACAAACATTACACAGAAAGATGAGTAAAAATAACAGCTCTTTCGCTTTTCTTCCTGCCATTTTTCAATACTTCTGAAGTATTTCAAAATCAAATTAGAACTCAGTAAGCAGACACAAGAACTAAAAGTTGAGCAGCTTTCAGTACATGCTCAGACCATGTTAAATCAGGGCTGGTGTAAATACAGAAGAAAGACTCTTTCCAAACAAGTAGGAGTATTTTATACGATGAAGCATTTGATTTTTTTATGGAATAAAGAACATCTGATCTATTATTTTCTATCATTTTCTCTTGCTCTTTGGCACTGGCAAAAGCAAGGTAGGCAAATGAGCATTGGTTCATCTTAAAGAACAGGACTTAGCAGCCTAGGAAGACTGTCTCAGAAAAGGTCAACTGATATTCACTGATTCATTCAATCCCTGTGAAAAGGGGTTTTCCTCTTTCTGTATCAGGATATGGAAAGAGGAAGTCTTTCAGCAGTAGTAACATCATCCTATCCAGGATTTAACCACCTGAAAGATGGCACTACCCAGTACAAAACAGGAGATGCTAACTGCAAACCACAGCAAAAGACTCATCCAAGGAAGAAAGGTGAAGAAGAATTATCACTGTGCAGACTTCCAAGCCGAAATAAGCATTTCTGTGTAAGCTGCACTGCACCAGGTGAGCACATCTACAGGTTCAACAGCTCTGGCCTGTTGGCCTCCCTCACATCACTACACAGCAAGAAGTGTCTCCTATGTATTTTCTATCTTAGTACAGTTTGGTTTTAAAGCTTCTAGCACAACACTAAACAATTCTGGCTAAGGAACTTGGTTCTGCATTTAGAAACATAAAAGATTTCACCAATATTTCAGCACTTACAAAAACTTCCTCATAGGCGTATTTCATATATTTAATTTCACTTACCTTGCCGGATTTTAGAGGGACTGATTTTTTTGATGGCAGAAGACTAGTAGCTCCACTATACCTGCTATAAGAGACAGTATGTCTTTAACATTCAAATGCTTCAGCAACTAATAAATGGGAGAAGAGATATTTTCAGTAGGGTGTTAATGTCACTTCTTTTGCAGTTTTAATGTTTAAAAAGAGAAAGGCGGAAGTGTCATCAGATACATTTTCAAGAACAAAGGCCTCGAGTTAATTCATTCAGGTGAATCCTATTAAATGCTACATTTGATTTCAAAGAAAGCTCAGGGAAATGGTTTAGGAATAGGAAATGCTTATCACTTCCACTGAAGCACTAATGAAGATTCTTTCTTGCAGAAGAAGCTCTGCAGATTGCTCTTAGCAGCAATTTCCAAGCTCCAGGGCTGTAACTGGGTGCAATCCACACTTTCTTTATGCAACTGAAGCAATTACAAAAAATGCTGCAATTTAACAGCCATTTCAAATATTAATGTTGTGAGTTAAAAAAACATGAGAAATTTGCAGCTTTTTGCACAGCTTAAATGCTGAAGATGAGCTGAACTCCACTGTCCAGCAAAATCAGTTTTCACTTCTACCACAGACCACTTTACCAATTTCTTTGACAACTACCAGAGAACATCTCAGACAGAGGTACCTGAATTTGCTCTCTTCACTGAATGTTGACTTTAAACTGTTCATGCGTTTCAGCCTAGCCAATTTCTTATTCCACTGTTCCAGTTCTTCTATTCTGACTTCAAGATTGTTGGTTACTTTACAAAGCTGTTTTACAGCGCCAACATTCTCCATGAAGATCTGATCCTGAGAAGCAAAATAATGACAAAAGTAGACACAGTACATTCATCAATCAGATGAGTACAAAATTCACCTATGTAAGGATACATTGAATATCTAAAATGCAAACATGAGTTATCTGACTGTAAATGGGATACACTTAAGAATATAAACCCCTTTTGCTAGATTGAAAAAATTGCTTATGTTCAATTTACCGTAAATTGAAAATGAGGATTTGCAGAAAAACTGAAGAAGCTAAAGGGCTTTGGAGACCAAGAAATTAAATTATATTTTATCTTCACACTGTGTTGAATTTTAAACATTAACACTGCCACAATGGCATCTAGTACTTGATTTGTAGTGCTGCAGGTGAACATAGATTTCAGAATCCCTTAGCAAAATATACATCCAGCCATCTACCCATAGGATTAACTAACTTCACTCAGACAAGCCACGTCATACTCATGAAGGGAATCACACAGGAATCAGTGAGACAGAGAAAGATCCAAACCAGAGGTCAGGCTGTGACAGCATACTGTATTGTTCTCCCCTTCAACCCCTCCAGCCTCTTATAAGAGTCCTAAAAGTTCCAATACCATAATCAGCAGCACGATTAATACAGTTCAGATACCTTCTATTTACTCCTTATGAATATTTTACCCAGGAGAAGCCTCCTAATCTTCTGTCCCCTGCTTATCATCAAGGTATCAATCTGCTGCTGGAGAAGCCCTTAGATAATCATCCAGAGAATAAGTATTTTATCCATTTCTGAGCCAAAACTGGTTACTGATCCACTGCAGGAGCATGGTACCAGCATACTTTCTTTGCTGTGTTTGAAAGAATGGCTTTCTCATACTAACATCCAACCAGACCGATGCTATTAAACCTTGGATGAAGCTGTTAGTGCAGTTAATGTTGCTAAGAGTTGCACTCAAGTCATGCAGAAATAAGGCAAAAGCAGAGTTTTGCCTTTCACGTAAATGCTACACACACCTTTCTTTCAAAGGTGACTGCATTCCACAAAAGCAGACAGTATTTTGTCTAAAGAGAACCAGAGCACGGGTATAGGTTGCAAGTTGCAAACTCCTCTACTGCCAGAAGACCAACAGCCTGTTTAACTAAAAAGTGACTTTAACATAATCTCCTGCATCTAGGACTTGAATCTCCTTCAGGTGACTTCAACTAGCTGAGAAAATGGCTCATCTGGCAAAATGAAGGAACACTTTCTTTTATTAAAAAAAGACTGATTGGAGTTTCACTGCCTCACTGATGACAAAGCACTGGGCGCAGCGTTATTGAGAAGAAAGATTCTTGTCCCAAAATAGCAAATTTCCAGGCAGTTGAGACATTTTTTATAGAAAGTAGCAGAGCCTGGTTCAAATGTGTAATGCAATCAATTAGTTCTACTGAGTTCAACAGCTCCAAACAGGTGACTGACAGGGACACATAACCAAACCAGCCAATGTCTTGCTTATCTGGAACTAAACTTGGATTTTGAGATAACAAAGTTCAAGACCTCAAAACCTGCCTAACTGCAAGCAAAGATCCGAAGCACTGTCCTTTCACCACAAAAGCTGCCGAGTCATTCTGGAATTGGGAGCTTCAGACACTTAAAGCACATGTTGCACCTGGACAACAGATGTTCCAAATCTCTGAATTCAATATACTTCTTAAACTGCTAGTCACAGATCTTCTCTGTCCCTGTCACCCCAAAGGTCACAGAGTCGACATTCACATGCTCTGCCACAGGTGTTAGGAAGGAGAAAGTGCAGATTTACCTAACCATATCAAAAAACAAGGACAAAGTGTTTGTGAAATGATCCCAGACTTAGCCAAGTAGTCAAAAAATGCTAAGCAAAATGTAAGCCATTGCTGGAACAACTCATTCCTGATTGGGCCATGTCCACTGCAGAATCACACCCTGCAAGGTACAGCAGGCTTTCTCTATTTGCTAAGTCACATCCCTGGAAAACATCCTGGCAAGTGTTATCTGGAGACTCAAGCTACATAAGAGAAAGGGACCACAATGGGCCCAAAGAGCAGTGCTGTGAGGCACTGTTAGAGGTGGTATTTTGTGTGATAATACAGCAGAGAGAGATACAAGTCAAAAGCTCAATTTTGTCAGGGAAAAAAAGCAAACAAACAACTGACTACCCTAAAGAAGTTTTGCAGGGCTCAAAAATGCAAATGGTGCTGCAGCTGTCACACAACATTACCAGGAAGGGCAAAAATGAAGGGCAAAATGAACCTTGTGGCACTAACATCACTGTTCTCCTACGAGCACGTAGAAATCAGCCGCAGGCTGTAACCCTGACCAAATACAGCAAATGTTCTAAAAGTCTCCTTTTCAACAGAGAAAGTGCTCTTTCCACAGTTTTATTCAAGGTGTCTAATTGAGGCTTCCTTTATATGGAATGTGGCCTAGCAGACTTAATCTCTAAATTTATCTTTTTTATAGCCTATCAAACGAAGACAAGTGAAATGCAATATATTTTTAGAGATATTTTCTCCAAATTTGGTGGTGTAGACTTGCGCTTTCTATAGAATAATGAAAGAACGCGTGATTATAACGAATGCAGGATCGCGCTCATGACATCATGCAGACAAGACAAGGTCACCAATTTGTAAAACCTCCCTCTTCCCATTATCAGAAGTAAGTGGGGAAAAGCTGGGAAGTGGTCCTTGACCTGCAGTGAACCAGCACACAACAAAGGGGCCGCTGTGAGCGATTGCCTGGACAAGCGCTGTCTGCGGTCATGTGTGACTGGACACTGTGACTGACAGTCCCTTCCAGTCCTGTTTCTACAGGAAAAGGAGGGAAAGA